TTCTCAATTAAGATTCTCCTTCTGTGAGAGTCAAAGTTACATTTTAAGTTTTAATTACCATGCCTTAGAGATCCATGAAACAATAATACTTCTGATCTGCAAAGCTCTAGTCCAGGCACAGATATTTCCTGAAATGCTGGAGGCTACTGTTTATGTGAGAAAACAAGCCACTTGTGTTCACTCCCCTGAATAAGTTTGTTTGACCCATCTGCACCAGTTGTGAGTGAGAGGTTCACAGGCAGGAAATATGTCAGGATGTATGCTTGCCCCTGATTGGACCTGATGGGAAATGCAATGAAGTATGGGTTTTTCTTTTTAAGCCCTTGCCATACTTGATTCTGGGCCACTTCCCAGGAACCTGGGTATGGACCTGGCCAGAGCCCATCCATCTGGCCAGTATTTAAAGCTTCCTTCTGATTTGTCTTTAAACTCTGGTAGTGGTCTTATTCTCCATTAGTTGGATTAACACTTCCCAGATGTGTCAGAATTTGCTAACTAGCACATTTAGCTTCAGCATTATCTCAGAAACAAAGGTAAACCTATTACCATTCTATGTGCTGTTATCCATTAGGAGGGATAATTGCTCTCACAAGTGCTTTAGTTACTTCTCTTGTCTTCATAGTCAAAGTGGGGAAGACCAGTCCAACATGACTGAATGTGATCAGCACAGATCAACATATATTTAACGCCCCTTGATCCTGGCATTTGAGGAAGGTTGGCATGTCAGTCCTTGAATGGGTATTGACCCTGTTAATTGATTTTATCTTAAAGATTTTTATTTTGAATCATGAGTATGAGTGTGTGTGCATGAATACAGGTGCCTGAGGAGGCCAGGGGTATCAGATCCCCTGAAACTGGAGTTACAGGCTTGACATGGGCACTGAGAACCAAAGTCAGTATTGGATCCTCCTTTCTTCCCTCCTCCCTTCATTCGTTCATTCCTTTATTCCCTCCTTTCTTTCTTTGTGTGTGTGTGTATTCTCCTAAGGCAGAGTTTCTTTTTGTAGTCTTAGCAGTCCTAGAACTCCCAATGTAGACCAGGCTCACCTTGAACTCACATAAATCCTCCTGTGTAGTGAGATAGTCCTTCTGTGGCACTGACCACGCCCATTGGGGGTGGAGCCATGGGCGGAAGTAACCTGTGGAAGGAGGTCGGAGGGGGCCAGGAAAGGCGCTCTCTTTCTGGCGAGACTCGGACAGAGGTTAAATTTCCTGGTGTTCATCTGTCTAGGTTGTAAGTTATTTCTCCCTGAATAAACATCTATTCGGCCTATTTGTTTATCCTGATCCTTATTTACCGCAATACTCCTGCCTCTGCCTCCAGAGTGCTGGAATTAAAGGTGTGTGCCACCACTTCTGGCCAGTAGTACTGGATTATAATAATGGAGCCATCTCTCCATCTTTGTTTTAAGTTCTTTTCTTTATTTCATGACTATCAGTCTTAGGACCATCCCGACAAATTATATGTATGGCCTCTCTCTGTCTCTGTGTCTCTCTGTCTCCCTCCCTCTCAGGGCAGAGATGCAAATTTTATTTTCTCTCAGCATCTCTGGTCGAATCCATATCCCATAGATATGATGACTGGAGTTTTTTGAGATGGAAAGTCTGCTCATTAGAAGGGTTTGAGTTGTTGATAGTAGCTAGCTGGATGAGAAAGAACAGGACAGGAGGAGTTTGCCTATAGTTAATGCCTTCTTACAGCTTTTTCAGCTGTTTGAAGGTCATGCCAAGGCCTGTCAGTCAGAGAGCCTAGACAACTGAGGAGCTGGTCAACCGCTGATATAAGGTTTTTACAAACTAATGAAGTCTTTCCTGCTAAACTTCCATCCAGCCTGCAAATCTTATGGCCATAGTCATAAGAAAGCAAAATGAGATGCAAAGAAGTCTACATTTAAAAACTGGGGGGGAGTGCTATTCAGAAAATAATACATCCCCCTTTTCTTTAACTTTTACTAAAATATGTGTCACACGTAGAACTTTTTTTTTTTAAAAAAAAGGTATTTGTTTATTTTATGTATGGGTGCTTTTCCTGAATGTGTGCCTGGTACCTGTGGAGGCCAGAAGAAGGTGCTGGGTCCCCAGGAACTGGAGTTACAGGTGATTGGGAGCTGTCATGTGGGTGCTGGGAATTGAACCTAGTCTTCTAGGAGAATAACCAGTGCTCTGAGCCACTGAGCTGTCTCCCCAGACACCTATATCTACAACTTTTATGACTTTTTTTTTTTTTTAAACTTTGTGGTTCTATTTTTAATTCTTATTTTTACAGATTTTAGAAGGCATTTCCCCCTAATAAAACAGCCTGAAGGCTGGGTAGATGGCTCAGTGGATAAAGTTTTTGCATATGTAGGACCTGAGTTTGGGTCTTCAGAAACTCAGGCACATCTCTAACCCCAGTGCTGGTGGGGGTGGTTTGGAGGAGGATAGGAGGGTAGATAAGATAGGTAGTGGTGGTGAGACCATGGGACGCTTGCTGCTTACCACTCTAGATGGAACCAGTACTAGGTTTAAGGAGAAACCCCATCTCAAAAAATGTGGACAGTAATAAAGGAAAACACTCCAAGACAGCTTCTGGTCTCTATACATGCATGCATTCATGGGGCAAGTATGTTGACATATATGTGTTCACATGCATACACACACACACACACACACACACATATTTAAAAAGTCGGAGTCTAGTTTTGGGAAGTCACTTCTTTTTTCTGATGTGGATTCTGAAGATTGAATTTGGGTTGGCAGTCATCTGTGGCGGCGAGTGTACCCCTCCAGCCCATATATGAAATGTTTTTTTTTTTTTTTTACCAAAGAGAAACAAGAATGAGTCAGTGTGTATCAGAGTTGGAGATTTATTTATTTATTCTTATTTGTTTGTTTATTGTGATAGGGTCTCTCTGTGTAATCCTGGTTGTTCTAGGACTTGCTGCATTGACCAGGCTGGCCTTGAACTCACAAAGATCCACCTCTCTCTGCCTTCCAAATGCTGGGGATAAAGGCATGTGTCATGACATTCAATTGGAGATTTATTAAGTGACATTTTAAAAATATATCACAGGACTTATTAGAAAAGGAGACTCCAGGGAAAGCATAAGACATGGCCAACTGTAGATACAGGCCTCTCAAAAGAGAATGTCAATTCATTGCCTTTAGATTGGTATATGTAGATTCTGGTGCTTTGAAACTACATGTTAAACTCCTACCCCTTCCATTTTATTAATATATTTCATCTTTGATAATTTCACACACATAAATGATGTATTCTGGTTATTCTCCCCCACACTGTCTCTTAGTCCTTTACATCCTGCCCTCCCTATTTCTTCCTTGCAAATCTCTTTTCCATAGGCATTGTTTTTTATTTGTTTACTGTCACACAGAATTTAATCGAGGCCATCTGTGTGACTCTGACTTTGGAAATAGCCATCTTGGTTTGGTGTACTTACCAATGGATATACAAGTAGATACAAGTGTCTCTCTCCTGAAAGTTCACGACTTCCATAGCCAACCTCTTTTTAAATTTTATTTATTTGTGTGTACTTCTGTGTGTTTGCTTGTCTATATGTGCCTGGTGTGAGTGCAGATGTTCATGAAGGGCAGAGAGATCCCCTGGAACAGGACTTACTGGTGCTTCTGAGTTGTCTGATGTGGGTTTTGGAACCTCTGCAAGAGACCAACAAGTGTTCTTGACTGCTGAGCTATTTCTCCTCATTCCTAAACAAATGCAGTTTACAACAATGTTAAAAGTTTAAAGAATTTCTTTTACAAACAAAGTTGCAAGGTGGATTTATGACAAGAAGGAAGAACTAAAAAATGAAAATTATTTATAATTTTTACCATTTTTGCACTAAGTAAGCACAATATGTTTATTGCCTTTGACAAGATTATCTTTAGAAAACCATATATTGCCTCTGTAAGCAAATATGACTTTATTAGTAATGCCTCTATTTTGTTTTGTTTACTAGTACTTTGGATTGTCTTTCATGAGTCCCATTCAATTTTTATTTAGTTTATCTTCAGTTTATTTTATCTTTATTTGTTGGTTTGTTTTGAGATGGAGTCTCACTATGTAGCTCTAGCTGGAACTCACTGTGTAAACCATGTTGGCATTGAACTTACAGAGCTACACCCGTCTCTGACTCCCAACTGCTGAAATTAAAGGGGTGCAGCACTATGCCAAACTTTTTAATTTTTAAAATTAAGAATGATCTATAAGAAACCAAGAACATGTTTCAAAGTACTTTTTAGTGCATTCACTAAGGATATACTAAGGTCCTTGACAAGTTGTGACAAGAGATTAAATTGTATCCACTAAGACAACTTCTTTAAGACTCATATGCAAAGAATGTTTTCCAATCACTAATTCCTGATGACCATACAAAATATTGCAAAGACACTGAAGTTACAAAAGTAGCATATGGTACCTAAAGAGATGGCTGGGAGATGAAGAGCATTTACTGCTCTTCCAGAGGCCCTGAGTTCAGTTCCCAGCAACCAGAGGCCTTTCTGGTGAACAGACAAACATGCAGACTGAACACTGTAAAAAATAATAAATAGATAAATGTAGCATACGGTTGGCATCAACTGTTCGGAAAAGCCATACCATTCTTGAAGAGGAATTCTTCCCAGTGTCAGTTTTCTTGCCACAGGAAAGGTAAAACATTTTCTCCAACATGCATAAGATTATATTGTCTCCCAAAAGTCAGTATTGACTCTCTTATGGGTATTAAGCAATCAAAATTTCTATGAAAAAATTTAGGAGAATCGGTATAGTAGAAATTTCAGCACAAGGGTTGCTCTCAGTCTGCTTTCACTTTATTAAATATCTCCAATCTGCTCTTAGAATTGCTATATAAAAATAAGCATATGAAACTGTATGTATGGAATAAGGACATGACTTAAATACATGTGAAACATAGCATCATATCAAGTTCTTATGAATTAAGCCTAGATCTCCAGTACTGGAAGGCTCACCCTTTCTCCTGGAAATATATGTGGGCTCTTTTTAGGAGTCAGTGACCTTTGAGGATGTGGCTGTGAACTTCACCCTGGAGGAGTGGGCTATGCTGGATTCATCTCAAAAGGACCTCTACAAAGATGTGATGCAGGAAACCTTGAGGAACCTGGCCTCTATAGGTGAAGATTACATTATTTTCTTACTTAGTCAATGAAAGAATAGGTGTTTTTTGCTCATCAATCCTACTGCATGAATTAGATTATGGAAAAAGAACACTGTGGGTAAATGTATCAGGTGGAATCACTTTATACTTTAGCTAGAATCCTTGTTTTTCCATGTAGCAGTAATTCATTTTTCTTGGCCTCTATTTTAGGAAATAAATGGGAACACCAAAATGTTGAGAATGAGTATGAAAATCTCTGGAGACAACTAAGGTAATTTGAACCCTAAGAGACAGCAGTGTCCCTCGGGACTCTTGGTGTACTAGCACGTTTTACAAAGAAGTGATAGACACAAATAAATCAGCTCCAAATAGTTTTAATTGTCAGCAAATCTCTTCCAAATCTGCTTACACATTAAACTTCAGCAGTCAGAATAGCCTAGTATTAGTAACACCTGGATATCATGATGGCACAAGTCATACTTTATCATGGTTTATATGTACTATCTTTACTCTGTACATAATATTACTTAAAATGTTGTATTGATTTATCTCCAAACTTTGGGTATGCATTCTATGTGAAACAAAAATAAAATTCTTTTTAGAATAGGACAGATTGTCAAGGTAATTCATAACTGATATACAAAGTATGTCAGAACCCAACATATTTTAGTCACCAGTATATCAAAAATGTATACAGTATTAAGTATTGAAAATGTATTTAAATGTAGTGTAGATATTCAGCATTTGCTTGTAATGAAAACAGTTTAACACAACTATGCATGGATACCTCTGTTTTAATTGTCAATGTTTTGAAACCATATTGTAAAACATTCAATTCAAACATTAAAAAAAATCATTACAGGGTATATAACTAATACTTCTTATGATAAACCATTAGTAAACAATTTTTTAATAATGCACTTTTATTTTTTGCAGGAGCCAGTTGTTGGAGAGACTCTGTGAATATACAGAAGGTCGTCAGTGTGCAGAGTTCTTTAACTGGATTCCAGAGTATGCTGTGAACCAGAAATCATGTTCAGGAGTCCCTACATATGAAAGCCATGTATATGGAAAAGTGGTTGTTGGCCATTTATCTTTAAATGTCCCTCCACATCCTCACCCAGAACACAAACCGTATGACAATCAGGAATATGGAAAAGAGTTATATAAAGATAAGGAATTTGGGGGTACCTCCAGTTCTTCCACAACCTTTCAGAAGCATAAAAGAATTCACACTGGGGAGAAATCTAAAACTAGTCACTGTAATGAAGAAGTTAGGTGTCTCATATCCAGTCAAAACAATGAAAAGACTTCTACTGGAGATAAACAGTATGAATGTAAGCAATGTGGAAAAGTATTCACTTCTTCCAGTTCTTTTAGAAGGCATGAAGAATATCACAGCCGAGAAAAATCTTATGTTTGTAAGCAGTGTGGGAAAGCCTTCCCTTTTCCTAGTTCCTTACAAATACATGAAAGAATTCATACTGGTGAGAAGCCCTACATGTGTAAACAGTGTGGAAAAACCTTTGCCCGTTCAAGTTCCCTTCTAACACACGAGAGAATTCACACTGGAGAAAAGCCCTATGTGTGTAAGCAGTGTGGAAAAGCCTTCACTGATCGTAGCTCACTTCGATTTCACGAAATGATGCACAGCGGAGAGAAACCCTACAAATGCACAAAATGTGGTAAGGCTTTTGCTTCTTCTGGTGCCTTCCGAAAACATGAACGAACTCACACAGGAGAGCAACTCTTCGTGTGTTTGCAGTGTGAGAAAGTTTTCAGTTGTGAAAGTGCTTTTCGAACACATAAAATCATTCATTCTGGAGAATGTGTATGTAAGCAATGTGGTAAAGCCTTCACTAGTCACAGTTCAGTTAAGTACCATGAATTGATGCATAGTGGAGAGAAACCCTATGTGTGTAAGCAGTGTGGAAAGACTTTTAGATCTCCTAAACAAGTTCAAATTCATAAACGAACTCACACTGGAGAAAAACCTTATGTGTGCAAGGAATGTGGGAAAGCGTTCACGTTTCTCGGTTCCCTTCAATACCATGAATTGATTCATACAGGAGAGAAGCCCTATCTATGTAAACAATGTGGAAAAGCCTTCAGGTCTTCTCGTCAGGTTCAAATACATGAACGAACTCACACTGGAGAGAAACCATATGTATGTAAGCAATGTGGAAAAGCCTTCTTTTCTTTGTATCATTTAAGAAGACATGAAGTAATTCACAGTGGCATGAATCCCTATGTTTGTAAGCAATGTGGGAAAGCTTTCAGTTGGTTCAGTACCTTTCACAGTCATAAACAGACTCACACTGGAGAAAAACCCTATTTATGCAAGCAATGTGGGAAGGCCTTCTGTAGTCGCATATCATGGAGAAGACATGAAAAAGCTCACTCTACAGTGAAGCCTTATGCGTGTGTGCAATGTGGAAAAGCCTTTCGTTCCCCTAGTTACCTCAAAATACATGAAAGAATCCACACTGGAGAGAAACCTTTCATATGTTCACAGTGTGGGAAACCCTTCCGTTCTTTTCGTTATGTAAAGTCACATGAAAGAAGTCACACTGGAGAGAAACCCTTTGTATGTACAGAATGTGGGAAAGCCTTCAGTTATTATAGTTCTTTCCACAGACATAGAAGAACTCACCAAACAGTAACCTTGAATACAGAACTTGAAAAGACTTCATAACAAGACTGCAATCAAAGAGAACTATAAAGGTTAAACATGCAGAAAACCTTTTGGTCCTGTTCATGGATAAAGAAAGAACATGTTTGGGCCAAGCGTGATGTAGCACACCTTTAATCCCAAAACTTGAGAGGCAGAGAGGCAGGGAATCTCAGAGCTTAAGGCTAACTTGGCATACTGATTTCTCAGCCTCCCAGGGCTAGATAGACTGTTTAAAGAAAAAAAAAGAGAAAACATGTTTGTATGTTTTGACCAGAAGAAATGTCTAAATGTGGACACATGTGCAATTGCTTCCCCAGTAGAAATCTTTCCTTGCCAAAGCACAAGAAACTCAGTAGTAGCAAATAGTGGCACAGTCCTTTGAAAATTTCTCATATGTTAATTTCCATAAATGTTAGTACTGTGAAGGACTGGATACAAATTTTTGTTTGTTTTAGAAAACCCAAAATCTGAAGAAATCTTTGTAAATATATTGTCTTATTGGAATTTACTAGGGATTTGTTTTTGATTATCAGAAATAGTCTTGCCATGTAACCCAGGTTGGCCTTGATCCAATTATCTTCCTGCTTCAACCTTTAAAATGAATGATGTCAGCTTCCACATCCAGCATCAGTAGTTCATTCTTGAAAGAACCCTTTTGGACTCCATGTGTCACATTTTTGCTCTACGAAAAATTATCTCTTTTTATTTTTTAAAGTATATGCATGTGTCTATGTGTGAATTTGTGCACAATCTTATAGTGCCTGCAGAGACCAGAAGAAGAGGTCAGATAAGCGAGGGCTGGAATTATAGGCAGACATGAACTGCCCCATGTGGGTGCTGGGAACTGAATCCAATTCTCTGCAAGACCATTACACTTAACCACTGAGCCATTTCTCCAGCCCCTAGAAAATTATCTTTAAATAGAATATGTGAAGTGGAGAATTGTTTAAATACAAGAGATAAAAACCAAAAAGAAAACAAGGTGCACTATCATTACATTAATTTATTAAGGTTTCTTAAGGTAATAGTGTGTACAAGTTTAATTAGTGAAATCTTTTTGCATTAAATCAGGTAGTTTTTTCCTTTTATTTTCATTTCTGTACATTTGCTGATGAGTTGATAGTTACTAATAATGCTAGAAGGCATTTAAAAAATCTTGTTTTCAAGCCCTTAATATTAATGTATAATGGAAAAATGACTTTGTGACTATTGAGATTTTCCCTCTTTATTCATATGGCAAGTTATTAACTATTTTTTATAGACTGTCATTCTCTTCCGTGAACAAAACCCACTTTTATATTATACATTTTTATTTCTTAACTTTCTTTCTACCTGGTGTCTTTTCTAACATTTCTTGTCTCTCTGACCTTTAAACTATTTTCAAACCACTTGTAGATTAACAAGTGTTCATTCTTAGTCTACTTAGGAGGTAGGTATATATCACTATAATCATAGATCATATCCCATTTACCAACTTTCCTAGTTTTTTCATATCACCAGCCATTTTATTGTACATATATAATTAATGATGTTTCCTCATGTTATTTTAATGCTTATATTGTTGTATCATTGATTTTTATTGTAATTTCTCCTCTAGTTATTATACTATGAGATATGTTGGTATCAGTGGCCTCTTGCCAAAGACTATAAGTATCATGTAATAAATTGTACTAAATCTGTCCATACACAGTAAGAAAGCATGTTTCATCAGTAAGAACATTCTATAGACATTCTGGCAGCATTGGTGTTTAACTTCCAGGGATTTATGGGGTTGATTAGATATAGTGAGGTGCCTCTGTGTTAGATGTACTGAGATATAATTCTATATTTGGTAATCATAGGAGTTGTTATGTGGAAGGCCTCAAATAATGCAGTGAAGGAAATTTGAATTTATGAGAATTACTACTCACATTAGTGAATAGAGGGTGCTTTGTTCATTTTCATAATTCAGAATGTTGTATGCTTTGTTGGTTTTATAGACATCATAGAGTGCCCTTTCCTTTTATCACAGTTATTAAGGAGCAGTGCCCAGTGGTGTATGTCTTCACACATGTCTTAACAGCAGCAGATTTGGCATTGCTTTGAACACCATTATTCTGGTCCAGTTTTTACTTTTCTGAGTTACTATACTGATACTACAGTATTTCCTCCAATATACTGTTTACTGCTCTTCACAAATAACAGATGTCCTTAATTGCCCATTTGGTTATATTCTAATAAACCCATAGGAAGGGGTAAATATAGCAAGAAATTATACTCACTCTAGTGAACATTAAACCTTAGACAAGTCATTTTCAGAATGTTTATATTAGGTTCAGATTGGGGGAATTTCTTCTGCATATTTCTTCCTTTAAAAAATGGCATGTATTATTATTCAGAATAATGGGATTTGTCATGATATTTTGACACTTGTATACTATGTACTTTGACTCTTTTTGCCCATTTTTTTTTTTTAATTTTTTTTCTCTCCCCTCTGCCCAATGATCTCATTTCCTCCCAAATAGACTTTGTGTTTTTTGAGACAGGGTTTCTTTGTGTAGCCCTGGCTGTCCTGGACCCCAATCTGTAGACCAGGCTGGCTTTGAATTCAGAGATCCCCTGCCTTTGCCTTCCAAGTGCTGGGATTAAAGGTGGGTGCCACCACACCTGGCTCCAAATAGACTTATACTAGCATCTCTCTCTCTCTCTTGCTAAAATCTAGAGTCTGCATATTCTTTTGTTTTGGTTTTTGGGTTTTTTGAGACAGATTTTCTCTGTAGCTTTGGAGTCTGACCTAGAACTCACTCTGTAGACCAGGCTGTCCTTAAACTCACAGAGATCCACCTGCTTCTACCTCCTAAGTGCTAGGATTAAACCATGTGCCACCATTGCCAGGCATTAGAGTCTGCATATTCTAAAACATACAGGTTGTTGGCTTGTGGAAATCAAGGTCAGTATGGTTTATACAATGAGTTGCAGGAGCCAGTGCCATGCAAAGAAACCCTTTATGGAAAAACCAAAACACAAGATAAAACAGAAGTTGAAAGCAATTTATGTAAGGAAGCCTGTGTTTTCAATCAAGACTGAAGAAACCATGTAGTTCCACATGGAAGGGAAAGCATGGTGTGAAGAGCAGCCTTAGCTGTATGAATAGAAATGAGACAACTGGTTGACCATATTGCATTGCCTCTGTAGTCAGATTGGTGCTCACCCCTCACCCTTTCATTTAGTCCTGAATCCCAGTGCTCAAAATGGTGCCACCCATATTCAGGATGGGTCTCCCTGAAAACACACTTCATAAACCAGGAGGTGTTTTTCTATGGTGATTCTGTATGCACTCAAACTAATGAAAATTCACTATCACCCTGCGCCAGAGGCTAGGTACTCATCTGTTTATTTCTAGCCCCAAACTCCTCTTACATCATCCTCTATCAATATAAAAGAGCCTTCAAGGTCTAATGGCCTGGTGGCTATCTTGCCTCCCTCCAGCAGGTTCCCTACTCATCTCACCTGGCTTTTGTCTGTTCCCTGCTTCTGCACTGAGCCTGAACAAATGCCTTCATTTCCCAGACTGCCTTTCAAACCTGATCTTCCCCTTGCTTCAAGAATTCTGTTACACAGTACATGTTCCTTACACTAGTGGCTCTGATGCCTACACAGCCCTCCTTACTATACCTTTCAGGCAGGACCTGCTGCTTGTCCAGAAGGGTCGTCCTAGAACTGCTCCAAGTTTTCCAGGTGTGTCTTCTGGGTCCTAAAGCTAGCTAATGACACTTCATCTGTTTTATTAAGCATGACTACAGAAATGACAGAAATCAGGAGTGGAGGCAAGAGGATTAAGACAGGTGTTCAAGGTCACCTTCCATTACCAAGTAAGCTCTGTCTCAAACCCAGATTATCACGTGAGTCATTAGTGATTGGAGTGGATTCAAGAGATGCTTTCAAAAGGGTAAGCAGAATATGTAAATCACCAGGGCCCAGCAACTTCTCTGACAACCACCTGCTGGGGAAAAGGAAAATTAGAAACTGAGCAGAATGGAGAGTTCCTATCAGTCGTGTCTTTTTCCATGCTGGTGTGTATACCTAGGGACAGCTGCCATCTTTGCATTGCCAAACAATAGGCTTTTGCTCCATTTTTAAGTCCATATGAAGTGTCTTAGAGCTTTCTCTATTTCATAAGTAGAAATGGAATGGGGAAGTGTCCTAGCATTTAACTAAAATATTTAGAGTCGACATCCTTGTTTCATGACCCCATGTTGGTGTGAAACAGGTGGGCAGAGGACTGAGGCCCCTCAATCCACAGTGGGGGCACATTGTGACCCTTCCTTAGGGTGGCAATGAGGTGTCCCTTGGTATTTCTTGCACAGCTATCTCCTGGAAGCACAAGACTTCCAGCTGGTTAGAACTGTTATGCAAGAAGTGAAGATTGTGAGGAGCTGCAGAGTAGGAGGAGGGAAATGTAGTGGAAGGCCAGAGGTAGGTGGAGCTTTTGGCCCAGCTGAGGCAGTAACAGGCTTAAAGACTGACTCAGTGAGGTCATCCTCTAACTTATGTGAGTGAGGAAAAGTCTGTGAAGATCAGACTTAAAGACTCTTTTGGGATAGGTCATTCCTTGGATAAAGGGTTTTTGTAAGTGACCATTTAGGTGATAATCTTAAGGTGACCTATGGGAAACTGTCCCTTTGGAAAAATCAAAGGTTTGAGGAGTCACAGGTCTGGGATTGTGCATGGCAGAGGATTGCGTGCTCACCCAGTTACTTTCTTATGTGTCTTTGACCATTCTCCAGTGACCTGTTGTGGGGCTCAATTTCAATGATAAGTCTGGCGCTTGGACTTGACAATGTATATGATCTTGAATTTCAACAGCCTGATTATCTGAGTATGGTCAAATGCCTCCTTTGCTTCCTCTTGACTCATCTTTTAATGTAAGCACCTTATAATTCTGCCAAAGGTAGACGGTGCTGCACACACAGGCTGCAAATGAACTTACAACAAAAGGCAGAAGTAGAAACTGTTTTTAAGTATGCAATGTTGCAGTCCCAGCTGGCTCTCTGATTTCATTGCACTTGAGAAGGAAAGCATCCCCAAACTCAAAAAAAGGTGGAGGAGGAAAAGGAAAGAGAATGGAAGGAAGGAAGGAAGGAAGGAAGGAAGGAAGGAAGGAAGGAAGGAAGGAAGGAAAGAAGGAATCTTT